TTATTGTCAACAATAACATAGAATAAATAATACTCTAAAGTCTTAAATAGAAGAAAAAATCCCTCTAAACCTAGAGAATTTAAACTAATTAATTACGTAAATATATTTTAATCAAATAATAGTAATTTAATTTACTTGTATTCAATTTAATATTTCCAAATCTGAATAATGAACAAATACTTAAAATGGTATTAGTGAATCATAATCATACTAATTTTAAATCAATAACATCAGATGTTCAAAGAAACACAAGCTTTGAATCAATATGTAGCCTTAGTATTAATATTAAATGAACAAAGCTGGAAAATGTAAGTTTCTTCATAAATATTAGAAATCATAAAAAGTCAAATGAATTATCAATATTTTTTGAATACTTTTATATTTATACCGACAATAATGACATATAATTACTATATATATCAATATTTATTCAGTTGATAAAAGGGCAATGATTCATTAATTTTGACTTCAATATTGGCAGATTTTTATAAAAATGAAAGAGAAAGAAAATGGAAGTACAAATCATACAAGCATAAAGAAGGATACAAAGACTTTTAATTAAAGAAAATAGATCTTAAGAGTCGAATGTGATGAGGGATATTTTGAAGACTGAAAATGGAATAATAAAATGATGATTTATAACCTAAGTATTGAAGAGGGTAGAAATTTTGTAGTGGGCTTAATGTTATAAATGATAAAATAAAAAACACTAGGTTAATTAAGTGATGATGACTTCTAGTATATAAATTTTATAGCAGCCATTTATTATTAAGAAAAAAACACACTCTAAAATGCTGGACATTATAAATTTAGTGATAATTACTAAGAGAGAAGATATTTGATGAGTCTTTTTATATTAAGTTTATAAGTAGTAGAATAAATTCTACAAAAGATTAAGATGGAATTGGATAGATGAAACAAAAAGGTTAAAATGTACTGGAAGAAGATTATATTAAGGATAAATCAATTAAATAGAAAGCCAAAAAACTATAAAAAAGGAAAATTATAAAAGTATCTTGGGGCACAAATCAATTGCTGATATGAATCCTAATAAAAAGCTTTATTAAGAAAACATCAAAAAATGTATATTTCTTAAATCCACAAGCTTTAATTTAATGCTAAATGCACCTTTTTTAACACAGAAATATATTAATGATTTAAAATAGTCGTCATATCTTCTTCTTACCCTAATTCGATTTATATCCTAATTATGCTATTCTCTCTTTAAATTTGTTTAGAATCACAGTAAAGATTTATAAATTAAATAAATCATTACTTTATAGTTATTAAGTATATAAGATATACTGATTGTTTGACAAAATCAACATCTTTACAAAAAGAGTGTATTAAAACCAATTTTATAATTTTTTAATGATAAGAACAACAATATATTGTTGATTACTTTATTGGCTTTTATGGAAGAAAAAATATTTTATTAACGAAAATTATCAAAATAATGCCTTTTTATTAATTTAGAATCGTTCATTTATTGACCAAACATCATTTATTAATAATATAAAATTAATAGGAAGTATTATGTTAAAAAAAATTTATTATTTTTAAGTGTCAGGTAGATACCACAGTTAATGCAATCACATTAGAGAAACTTATTTTAGGTCATACTCTAAAAGGATTTAGTTTTTTTGAATCCTAAAATTTAGATTTAATTCATAATTAGAATTAAATATTTTACAAGAAAAACAATTTTGACAATATTAGGAAACTATAAATTATTGAAATTGAATTGAGTCTAATTCAATTTAATTTATTTTAATTTTGGGGCAAGACTCAAATAGTAAACAAATTAAGTAAGTATTTATCTTAACAATATTTTTAAAATATTGCGTAAATATAATCTTTGATTCTAAGTGTTTTCATAAAAAATTTATTTATAATTATAATTATATAATTTATGAGAAGATTATAAGGAATTTTTTAGTAGCTTGAAAAATTGATATAAATCATGGTGTACAAAAAAAAACTAGATATTTTTGGGAGTGATGTTTTCTAATGTTGAGTTATGAAAATAAT